CACTCTCAACAACAGAATCACCCTCAACAACATAATCACCCTCAACAACATAATCACTCTCAACAACAGAATCACCCTCAACAACATAATCACCCTCAACAGCATAATCACCCTCAACAATATAAACACCATTAACAACATAATCACCCTCAACAGCATAATCCCTCTCATCAACATACWACATAAYCACCCTCAACAACATAATAATACCAAAAAATATCTTCTCTGATGATGATTGTTATAATTATTCTGACTAGTGATTATTAAGCTACAATTGAGAAATAGTATGCAAAGTGATGCTGCACACATGAATCACTACACAGTATAATGCAATTAGCTTGTGATTTTCACATACTTGTTTCATAGCAACAGACCCAAGTTTCTCTGATTCTTTTCTAATACTTTCAAGAAAATCCTAATGAAAGATAGCATAATTTAGTTGCAAAAACATTTGCTATGAAGTACAAGCAATATGCAGAAAGTGAGAAAATGTGAAACAAAAGTCCATATTTGAAATCATACATTGCTTATAATTATTGAAATTTTGCTGATCAGCTAAGCTACAATCCTGGACAAAATGGTTTCCAGTAATAAACCATTCAACAAAGTTCTACATAACATTTATTCCACCCCCTCTGCTACCCCAAGATAGTGTTGTTGGCACTGAAAGGGAATTCAGGAAGTATGTGTATAATCTTCAAAATACAACTTTGAGCAAAAAGGGGGGGGGGAAATAATCAAATGTACAATATTCTTTTCATTCTTCGCAAATGTTTTTGCATTTTAAATTTACAAAATATCGTCCAAGATTCTACTTGTAGGTACTTAAGAAATTAATACATCATTTTTGACATTGTATTTCAACATCATTACCCTTAAATCAGACATGGATGCTTCTTTGATGTTCTCTCTGAATATAGGAATACTATTTTTCATAATTTCAGCAAACCTAAATCTTGGATAGTCAAACCACAGAGTATTAGACATTACAAGTACAGAATAAGTCACCATTAATTTTGTACTATTGAAYATAGCTTATTGGTGCCTGTATCCTAGTGTGGTGAGAGTTACATTTTTTACTGGTACCCAGGCAAAAACCTGGCTTCACTCAAATGGTGCTGATTGTATCAAAAACAATGTTTGTTTGCCATTTTCTTCTTAAAATSACTTCCCACATCTGGTTTCTTACAGACGATTGCCTCAACTACCCAGCTAAGCTTCAGGATGCAAGTCTAGGGATAAAAACTTCACCTGACGTGAGTGTCAATTAGTCATATAGACATACAAAAAAATTTGAAACTATTTGTTATAAATAACTTAATAATCGTATGAGGAAGTAGCTGATCCCATTAAAGAGTGCTCAATACACATATAGTGTAGAGCTAGTTATATATAATATCAAAGAGGCAAGATTTTGCTGGTACTCCCAGTTTCGTGCTATGCACTCATCAGACAGTATTTAATGATAAACATTCCTATAATCTAGATATATATATGATATAGAACAAAAGGCTAAGTGCTAGGCTATTTATATACAATACATGATAGTAATGCTAGAAACAATAGGTGTGAAGGTAAAAAATTACAAAGGAGATTATACTATTAATTACAGCCATGTAGGTGTGAATACAATAGGCTATAAAGGTGTCAAGTGTTCTTCAAGTAGAATTTGTTTTTGTGTCGGCATTTAGAGATGAGTTCTGATCTTTTGTTTAGTAGATTGTCGTTRCTGYGTTTAATTATCATWAGTTTTTCTGTAAGGCAGAGGTCGCATCATTTGGATATGTTGTTGTAGGGTGTTGCACGGCTGATAATTGTCCATTTGATGTTGAAGTCTTGTTTTTTGTGTGTAGTTGCCAGATGTACTTTGGTGCTGTTGATGTGTTTTCTGTGTTTAAATGTAGATTTGTGCTGCGAGAATCTTTGTTTGAATGTTCCTTCTGTCAGTCCGATGTAGTTCTTGGTTGTGTTGCTGGTTGTGACTTGTGTGCTGTAGATTACACTGGAAGTTAAGCATTTGTTGTCTAGCAGGCATTTAGCGGGCATTATTCTCCAGTGGTTGTGTTTGCGTTGTTGTCGGCGTTTGTTACTTTCATGTTGTGTTTGTTGTTACTGTTTTCATGTTGTCCATACAGCTGTAGCTGACAGTAAAAAAACATGAAAACAGTAATCAACAAACACAACATGAAAGTAACAAACGCTGACAAGGCCAACGCAACCACCGGAGAACAATGCCCGCTAGACAAAAAATGYTTACCTTTCAGTGTAATCTACAACGCGCAATTAACAACCAGCAACACAACCAAGAACTACATCGGACTGACAGAAGGAACATTCAAACAAAGATTCTTGCATCTCTAAATGCTGACACGAAAACAAATTCTACCTGAAGAACACTTGACACCTCTATAGCCTATTGTGTTGGAGAGATGTGTTGGGCAGCCTGTGGTCTTAACCCAGACTGCTTTGCGAAAGGCACATGGTGTGCTCGGTGGTTGTTGTTGACTTCGATAGTTCACTAAAAGAAGCTCAAGATTTACACAACAACCCGAGAAATCGCTGATYGCGTGAGTGGGATTTCGCAAGCTAGTTCACTATGAAAGGATTACGAGAGAAAAAGAATGGCCTAAAAAGGGTAATTTACGAAATTCGCGATGGACTKATCACTGGAATTGAAGACAAAGCAATGGGAATTGATGACACAAAGGAGTTATTTYGAAAACTGGTTGATCATGCTAATGAATATTTTCGTGTGTCTAACGATCTAGAAGCGGAATTGAACATCTTTAGAGAAGTAGACARAATYGCTCGATTGAAAGCGGAGAATGATCGCGTTAGGAATGATGTACAAGAAGTTACAGATATGGTTCACGCTTATGACGAAAGCCAACAGCTCGGCCGACCTAAAGCAGCAAATTCATCGATCTCACAAAATGGCGCCAGCGCAGGTCTTCAAGTCGACAAGATAGAAGAGATGATCTCAAATCTCGAGTGTTCACTGTCAAAGGCTAGACAACAACAAAAGGAGCTGTATTCACAGCTAGGAATGTTCTCAACCCCGATCCCAATGGAGCAGTCTACATATACGTTCTTTCRCAAGACGCTTCCCACCMAATCAATCCACGTTCTCAAGATCACTTATCAGCCGATCACAGTTCAAGCAATCACCGCTCAGTTGATCACCGCTCAGTCGATCACCACTCAATYGATCCACCTTCTACCGATCACCATTTTCTAGATCCACATTCTGTTGATCATCATTCATTGACTGGTCAACATACTCCTGATCCGCCATCATTAAGTTCACATTTTTCGGATCTACGATCTYGACGCATAGACATCCCAGACTCACCTTCAAGAAGTAAAGAAGTCAACCATCTTGAAAATGCGATGAAAGCATTTGGATGTAAAGGGAGCTGCTTCTAAAGAAACAGAGAAAGTATGGCAACCTTCTGATCGCAACAACCTTGATGATCCGTTAAAAAGTCTACAACGTCTTAACGTTCCACACTTBAAAGGGGATAAAAGGCAATTCGAATCCTGGCACGCAGCGTTTCATCAGACGATTGGAAAGCATGAAAAGATTCCACCTGAGCAAAAGTTACTAAGACTGTACAGCTGTCTAGAAGGAGAAGCACTCCGCACAGTTCAAAATCTGGGGTATTCTGGGACTGCCTATGAAGTAGCAATAAATCGACTCGTCAGAAAATATGGTGGAAAGAGAAGAGAGATAAATCTACGTTTGGAAGAGCTGGAGAAATTTCGTAGAGTACGTGAAGGAAATGCTGCAGAMCTTGAGCAACTAGCGGAGTTGCTAGATACACTTATCGTCAAGCTGACAGATGCAGGCCAAGTTTCTGAACTTGGAGCAGGGTCCCTCTATGTGTCACTACTTCGTAAACTGAATGAGCAGTTGGTCGTAAAGTATCAAGATTGGCTCAGAGATAAACGCTTAGAAGGGACTGTTCACAATCTCTATGCATTTATAAATAAAGAAGCTGAAAGCTGGATGACCGCCATTGAAACCGTCAAAGGACTAGGTGCAGAGAAAGCAGGATCTCGAAGTACTGGACGTACACTAGTGATACCCCAAGTAGAAGTAGAAGCAAAGAAACACACTACAAAGTGTCACCTTTGTACTCAAGATCATGGATTATGGAAATGTGACCTCTTCAAAGCACTCTCTGTTGATG